GACAAATGTTAAACTCCATATGTTAATGAGAGTTTTTGATAAATTGCACATTATTTTATAGTTGCGACATCTTGGAGGAAGAACTATAGATATTTTTAGTTGCTACATCTTGAAGGAAGAACTATAGCTGTTTATACTTGCTACATCTTGAAGTAAGAACTACAGATGTCTATGGTTGCTACATCTTGAAGGAAGAACTATATATGTTTATAGTTGCTACATCTTGAACTAAGAACTATATATGTTTATAGTTGCTACATCTTGAAGGAAGAACTATAGATGTTTATAGTTGCTACATCTTGAAGGAAGAACTATAGCTGTTAGTAGTTGCTACATCTTGAAGGAAGAACTATAGATGTTTATAGTTGCTACATCTTGAAGGAAGAACTATAGCTGTTTGTAGTTGCTACATCTTGAAGGAAGAACTATAGATGTTTATACTTGCTACATCTTGAAAGAAGAACTACAGGTGTTTATACTTGCTACATTTTGAAGGAAGAACTACAGATGTGTATAGATGCTACATCTTGAAGGAAGAACTATAGATGTATATAGTTCATACATTTTGAAGGAAGAACTATAGGTGTTTATAGTTGCTACATCTTGAAGGAAGAACTATAGATGTATATAGTTCATACATCTTGAAGGAAGAACTATAAATGTTTATAGTTGCTACAACTTGAAGGAAGAACTATAGATGTATATAGTTCATACATCTTGAAGGAAGAACTATAGGTGTGTGAGTTAGATGTTTAAAACTAAGAAAGTGGAAATCGGATAATTCAATGTTTTTCATCACAATTTTGTGAAAGTTGTTTTCTCCAACTGCTTGTTTGTTTGTTTATTTTAGAGCAAAGCCATATTGAACTGTTTGCTATATCTACCACGGGGAATCGAATCCCGGATTTTAGCGTTGTAAGTCTATAAGTTTCCCGCTGTTCCACCGGGGGACATAATAATAGTTACACATATGATTTAAAAAGATAACTCCTTATTAGCGTTCTTACATGTAAACAACTTAGGTAATTTTTATCACAATATATTGTTAACTTTATTTACTCAGTTTCGTATTTATTTTATCAATTAGCACTGTTTAAAGCTTTAGCTGCTGTGTAGTGTATAGAAAAGTGTGAAGAGATGTAATTTTCGGTGACACAGAATCTTAAATATTGTTGTAAATTTGGCGGTTACTTTTTAAAATTATCTGGTGAAAATAATTCAACGTCTATTCACGTAACGATAACAAATTAGCTAATTTTACGTTTCTACAAACTTAAACACTATGGTAACTTGTACGTTTACAAATGACGCTAACTGCACCACACTAACGTAATAAAACAACAAAAAACCTTACTTGTACCGCTTCACAGCTAAAACGAAAACTTAACATAATAATTTATTCTCTTTACTGACGAGAAATGACTCAACTATTTTGAAACAACTCTACGATCACCACAACGCTCTCGTGTTTATAATCTACCCTCGACGTCAAATATTTTAGAAGTTTCTAGTTATTCTAGACATATCTTATTAACTTTTTGGCATTAAAGTCATCATTATGACCCGCAGCTCCCTCTGGAAAACAAACAAATTGCAATATTAGAAATACAGCTTATAACAATGTTTTCTATCTATAGTATTTGATGTAATGAGTTACATTTGTTGTTAAGCTATAAACTGACGTCTTTCACTTGTTTTTACTTTTTTACTAAGAAATGGAAAACTTTCATTCAAATAATTACAATTGCATCACGAGGATCCAAAATTTAATCATTGATATTTGTATGTCTATAACTGGGATAAAATATATATTTTGTTGTAGGTGAGAAAATAATTTTCTATTAAAACACACATAAATAAATCCTTATTTTAAAGTGTTTTTAGAAAATATGCTTCCTTGAATTAACCTTAAACATTCCTGATAAAAGTGAGGACTAGTTAACTTGAAATCGAATTCATGAAATAATTTTAAGAAACACAAATTACAGTTCTAGTCAGAAATATCAATGCCTTTTCTCCATTGCGTATATAATTGAAATAATTAGTTGCATTTCTATATTTTTAGATAAGCTTTATACTTGAACCTTTCCTTTGTACTAGCCTGGCAAATTGTTGGTTAGGGCGCTCGACTCACAGTCTGCAGGTCGCGGGTTCGAATTCTTTCATCGAATCTGCTCGTCCTTTTAGCCTTGGGGTGTTATAATGTAATGGACAATCTCACTTTTCGTTGGTAAAGGGTAGCGGTAGCCCAAGAGTTGGCAGTGAGTAATGTTGACGTGCTGTTTTCCCTCTGTCTATCATTTCTAAATTAGGGACAGCCATCGCAGATTGTCCTCAATTATCTTTGCCCTACATTCAACAAAATAAACAAACAAACAAATCCTTTGTATTAAAAGAGTATGTTGGATGTTAAACAGATTTCTGACAAGAGCTTTATAACACTATTCGGCTTTCATTTAATATATCTTAATACTGTCAGTCTTAAATGATAATTAACATTTCTGGTGTCGTTTGTGTCTAAGTAATAAAGATTAATCATCTGTTTGTTGAATAGCAGCCTAGGGTCTAAATATATTGGTAATCCTTCTTTCTTCATATAATAACTAAAACTTTTACATCGTTTACTTTTTTGCCAGGATATCTTGCTATATATATTTGTCGACTTAAAAACTTTAGACTTTAAACTCTCAGTAAAAGCATTGTAAAATCTTAATATATAGCTTAATATGATGGTGATATCTAGAAATGCAGGAAGATTAATAATTCTGTCTAGAAGTAATGGTGTTGCACCGCATTTCTATATAAGTTCTGCTTCGTTTTGTACTTATTCTGTACTTTTTAATGTGGTTCATATCAAGCTATTAAACCACACATCATTTCAAAAAATTCTCATTATTTAGTATAGACGTTTTATATTTTTAAACGTGTTGTTATCGTGAAAAATATTTATACCTTTTCAAAACAGTGTTCAAAAGCTTACTGTAAAACTAATATATATATATGACTCTTTATGTTTCTTTGTTATTGATCAACATTGTCCTGTTTTGTTTTGGAAAAAACTGATGTTTTGTCACTCCAACTCAGAACTTAAATATACCCTTATGGTTAGATGTGTAATTTTGAAAGTATCTTTTATAAAGAAATCCATGTTTGCAAGAACATTTTGGAAAAGTATTTAGGACGTTATAAAGTTGGCTCAGCTCAAATTTTCACTTTCGGTACTATCATTAGTAGCATTTCAAAAGATAGATTTAAACACATGATCGTACACTATTCTTTTACACAACAAAACAAATTTCTTCAAGGAGAACTGACCCCACTTCACACTCCTTACAAAAACATCACTAGCTCTCTTTTATTTCTCATAACCAGTTGTTATAAAAAATGTTCTTGCTATACTTAGAAATAATTATGTCTAAAGCAGTGTCTCCTAGTGGATAATGGGCTCCCGAACGTAATAAAAAGATCAAGGTCGTCAAAAAATTAATGTCGCTTTTTTTAAATGACAAAACCCGAACAACCTATATATCAAAACAAAACATTTATTAAATGAAATAGTCTCCATTTTTATCGATGATGCTTTTCCATCTTACAATCAGGTTCTTAATGCTCTGATTAAAAAAATAATTTGGCTTTGAAGCAAAAAACATGTCGATATCCTCTTTAACACCTTCCACATTTGCATACGTTTTCCCATTAAGATGGTGTTGCAGTGCACGTAAAAGATGGTAATTCGATGGTGCCATATCTGGAGAATATGATGGGTG